AATTTCAGCAGCACAAATGGTAGGTGCTTAATATTTTTTGGACAAACGGATGAAATGTGAAAGATAGAAGCTAAGACCTGAAGATCCAGTAGTAGGGTTTTGGCATCTTGTCAAGTTTTGGGAATGTCCCCTTGTCTTTGATTCTTCTTACAAACAAAAATATCAGAGATCAAGTGAAACAAAAATTTCAGGACTCAAAAAAATGGAGAGCAAAGAGTTTTATTCCAAGTTCCTTGGTTTTCTCCCAATGAAAATATTGCATAGGGTTTTATTCCAAGATCCTTTGTTTTCTCCCAATGAAAATATTGCATAATAGTCAGATATTACCTACTTTGCTTCTCAGCTCTCCTTTGATGGGGCTTTTATTGTTTTCTATAATGAACAGAAAGCTTTGAGCAATCTCTACTCCTTCTGATAAGAAAAGGCAGAGTAGAAGATAAGGTAGGCTTGTGAAGTTCCCATAGGTGTTCTAGTCCGTTTTGTGGTTAATAACAAAAAATACCTGAAACTTGGTAATTTATAGAAATAGAGGTTTATTTAGCTCACAATCTGGAGGTGCAAGATCCAGGGGCCTTCTCTGGTAGAGATCTTCTGGCTACATCAAAACATGGCAAAGGGCAGGAGAGCATGACCTAGGTTTCATGTAGGTCACTGCTTTTCGCATCACCTCTCCTTTTAAACACACCAGAACTCAATTATGGGGGCCTCCCAACCCTAGCCACCTGATCTAATTTGCTCCTAATGGTCCTACACTTTAACACAATAATTGAATTGGATTTCAGCCTCTTAATTCTGTTACAATAAGATCTCAATGCATCAATTTTAGGAGGCACAGTCAAACCACAGTATGGGTATAACCGATAACTTTTAAAGGACAAGTTGATACAGCTGCAACTGTTTTTCCCTTCTTTGTGACGCCAGTAGATATTGTTTTTTTCCCTATTTGCTAATGGCAAAACTAGAAAAACAAGAATACATACATATCATACATACTTTTTTTTTGAGGGTTTTATTCTTTTTTTGCTATAGATCACGTGTGCTCACCAGAAAGACAGAGAGAGACAGAGAGACAGAAAGTGAGAAATCACCCCCCAGGGGGGATGGCCACACTGCAATCCCTTCTCCTTCATTCTCTTCTCAGGATCTTGGGCACGCACTCACATGCTCCCGGCGTGAGTTTAATCCACCAGGTCCGGGGCATGAACTGCGGTCAACTACATGGGAGTCCAGCAACATAGCCATTATGCCAACTGCTGGCCCCAAAATACATATATTTTAAAAAGTGAAATGTCAGGACCAGCAAGTGGCATGGTGGTTAAGGCACTGGATACTTCTACATGGCCGACTCTAGTTCAAGTCCTGGACCTGGTGGCTTGCTTTCTCACTTTCCATCTCTCTCTCTCTCTCACTCTCTCTCTCTGTCTCTCTCTGGCAAAATTAAAATAAATGAATGAATAAATAAAATTAAATAAAGTAATTTTTAAAAAGTGAAACTGTCATTTTAAAAAAGTGAAATATCATGACATTTGTATAACATTATATATTTCTATTTAAATGATAAATTATCTCTTGGGATGTAACATCCAGAGCCTTGTCTTAACATTCACCTTTTTCTAAGAGAAGAAAGAATGATCTCTTAGCCAGTACTCAAGAGTTTTCCTATTAGTACAATCACCAATCAGATTTAAGCAGGTTTGTCCATTAGCTGTCTACACTCCAGAGCACTGAGTTAATCAGTTGCAAAGGAAAAGAAACAGGAAGGATGAGGCCTGGAAAAAGAGTAGCTCTAATTTGATAACATTTTTTAATATTTTTCAACACTGGGCAGGATACTCCATGTGCAGTATGCTTCATTGGAGGAAAAAAGGCAAACCAATTTGGCTTTTCATATATTTTTTTTAACCTTTTGATTTTTTTATTACTCAAAAGAGCGTCATTTTTTTATTTAGCTTTCTGACTCTGTGCTTGTGCCTTCAAGACTTTCATAATGATTTTCTGCTCCTCTATAAGGAAAGCATGCTTGATCTGGTCACGGACGCATTTTACACACAGGCCTTGCTGACATGCTTCTTCATTTTAGACAGCCTCATGAGAACTTTCAGTCTCACAGCATGAACCCCTCGGAGTCGGTCCGGGCACACGAATTATGCAGATTTGGGTGCTTTCCCAACCTTCTTGGTATAAAGGTAAGCAATCCTATTACCAGGGATTTGGGACAGCCTAGTCTTTTGGAGGCTGTGTTGTAGGAAAGCCTGCGCTGGTAGGTGAGACGCAGGACCATCCTGAGTGCCTCTAGACACCGCCCCCTGAAGAGGAAGAAGCGGGTTTTCATATTTTTAAGTTCAGAATACTCTTCACTGGAAAAGTCAGTAATTCAATAAATACTTCTTCTTCTTCTTCTTCTTTTTTTTTCTTTTCATAATTCATCAGAGAAAGACAGAGAGAGGGAAAGTGAGAACTTGGGGAATAGTCATGCGGCAATCTCTTCTCCATTTCTCCCTCCTTTTGGGATTTTGGGCATGCACACACAGACACCTTGCGAGTTTTTCAAGCCACTGAGTCTGAGGCTAGAACTGCATGGTCAACCATGTGGGATCCAGCTGCCTTAACCACCACACACTGGCTGGCCCCCTATAAATATTTCTTTCATCATCTAAAATACAATTATGGGTTTCTCAGTGGGTTGCCATGGAATCACATTAAGCCATTATGAGGTATTGCCTAAAAGGCCTTTTTAAAAACTTCTTCATGGAGGCCAGTAGGTAGCATGGTGGTTAAGGCACTAGATTCTCACATGACTGACGTAGTTCGAGTCCCAGACCTGGTGACTTGCTTGCTGTCTCTCTCTCTCTCTCTTTCCCCCTCTGGTGAGCATGTGTGCCCTGCAACAGATTAAAAATAATAATGATGATGATGGTAAATAAATAATCTTTTAAAAAGCAAACTTCTCCTTCATTATCTCTTTCTCCTATAGATGTAGGATTTAGTCAAATAGTTTGGTTGCATATGACAGAAATTTAACTTGAACTAACTGGCCTCAAATAGTTCTGGACCCAGGGATTCAGGCAGTTTTTGAACTCCCCCTCCTACCTCTCCTTCTCTCTCCATCATCAATTCCATTCTCTCAAACCAGCTTTTTCCTGCGGCATGAGGTGAGTGAGCCTGAGGGAGGGGAGGCTATAAGGGGACTTCATTCAACCAGCTACATCAGGGCAGGTGGGGCTAAGAGAATCTGGAGAGGAAGTTTTCCTGGTATACTAGTTTTCTACTGCTACCTTCACAGATTGCCACCAACTTGGTGGCTTAAAACAAGAATTTATTATCTTACAGTTCTGTAAATCAAAATCTGACAGGAATCTCACTGAGCTAAAACAAAGGTGTCATCAGGGCTTTATACCTTTCTGGAGCCTTTCTGGGAAAATCTATATCCTTACCTTTTCCAGATTCTAGAGGCCACTCTTCTTCCTTGCTGATGACCTCCTTCTGACATCGTCAAAGCAAGCAGTGTCGGCATCTCTTTAACCTCATCAAATCTCTCTGACCACAGCCAAGAGTGGTTCTCTGCTTTCTTTCTTTTTTTTTTTTTTTTTGAAAGAATTATTTTGTTTAACTTTATTTATTTATTTTAATTTGACCAGAGAGGGACAGAGTGAGAGTGAGAGTGAAATGGAGAGAGAGAAAGCAAGCCACTAGATCCGGGACTCAGATGACAGTCGGCCATGTGGGAGTCCAGCACCTTTAACCACCACATCACCTGCCAGCCCCAGTTCTCTGCTTTTAAGAACATGATTAGAGGGGCTGTACAGTTGCACAGCAGTAAAACACGATACTCTGTGAGGCAATCCCATGTGGGGAGGTTCTCAGTTCGAGTCTGGGACCTTATGGAGTATACCAGGCATGCATGTGTCCATGATCTGGGGATGGATAATAGCATCAAGACTCTGTCTCTCTCACACATAAAAGAAATAAGTACATTTTAAAAGGGGAAAAAAAAGGAAAAAGAAAGAAAGAAGGAAAGGAAAGGAAAGGAAAGGAAAGGAAAGAAAAAAGAAAGAAAAGAAATGAAACCCTGATTAGATTGGTCCACCTGGATAACCTGGGATAGTTTTCCCATCTCAAGGTCTGTACCCTTAATCACATCTAAGAGTCTCTTTTGTGTTTGCCCTGTGAATCTTACAGGTTTCAGGGAGTAGAACATGTACATATCTGAGGGCCATTCTGTCTAAAATACCTGGTTAAGGTGACACCTGGTCTGGGGATTGGCCTGACCCAAGCAGGATTAGGCAGCTGTCCTTCCCGAGAATTTTCTAACTTGGGTTTGAACAGAAATACTTTTTCTGTCTGGTTATGGAACTGTAAGGATGTGAGTCACTATCTCCAGGGAACATGTTTCCTACCACATGGGATGAGTTGATGCAAAAGAATAAAGTTAAACTCCTGGGCCAGCACATGGTGTGGAGGTTAAGGCAGCTGGATCCCACATGGCCAGATGCATGGTCTGAGTCCTGGTGGCAGCTTGAAAGACACACCAAGTACATGTGTGTGAATGCCCAAGATCCTGAGAGGAGAATGGAGGAGAAGGAATTACAGTGTGGCTATTCCCTCTGGGAGGTTTCTCACTCCCCACCCCACTCCCCACCCTGTCTCTATGTCCAGTGAGCACACATGCCCTTTAGCAAAAAATTTTTAAAAAGTAAACCCCTTTATTCACCTTTAAAAATTTTCTCAAGGGACCTCATGTGGCATGGTGCTTGAGGGCACTGGACTCCCACATGGCCGATGACAGTTCAAGTCCTGGACATGGCGGTTTGCTTTCTCACTTTCTCTCTCTATCTCTCATCAAATTAAATAAATAAATAGACTCAGAGATTGAACTTGGAAGTAGTGGCTGCACCAACATGTCCCATGGTTCCTTCGCTGGTCTTGATCGCCACATTACCATTTTTCACCCGAGGGCTGGCTCTATCAAGTTGAGTATGCTTTCAAGGCTATTAACCAGGGTGGCCTTACATCAGTAGCTGTCAGAGGGAAAGACTGTGCAGTAATTGTCACACAGAAAAAAGTTCCTGACAAATTAGTGGATTCCAGCACAGTGACTCACTTATTCAAGATAACCGAAAGCATTGGCTGTGTGATGACAGGAATGACAGCTGACAGCCGATCCCAGGTACAGAGGGCACGCTATGAGGCAGCTAACTGGAAATACAAGTATGACTATGAGATTCCTGTGGACATACTGTGCAAAAGAATTGCTGATATTTCTCAGGTCTACACAGAGAATGCTGAAATGAGGCCTCTTGGTTGCTGTATGATATTAATTGGTATAGATAAAGAACAAGGTCCTCAAGTGTACAGGTGTGATCCTGCAGGTTACTACTGCGAGTTTAAAGCCACTGACGCAGGAGTTAAACAAACTGAGTCAACCAGCTTCCTTGAAAAAAAGAAAAGAAATTTGACTGGAATTTGAAACAATGGAAACTGCAATTACACGCCTGTCTACTGTTCTGTCGATTGATTTCAGACCTTCAGAAATAGAAGCTGGAGAAGTTACAGCTGAAAATCCTAAATTCAGGATTCTTACAGAAGCAGGGATTGATGCTCACCCTGTTGCTCCAGCAGAGAGAGACTAAACATTGTCATTAGTTTACCACATCCATGACGCTACTTGCCTGTGTGTTTGGAGACAACAAACGTATAGAGGCCCCTGGATTGTAAAAGAAACCTCTTCCACTCCTACTGCTGAAGTGGTTAGGACTCTGTGTAAATAAAGACAGTGCTTTTGGAAAATAATAAATAAATAAAGTGGAATAGAATAAATAATTCTTTAAAATTTCATTTTTTCAAACTCAATAGTTGTCCCATATGTTTAAATATACATATACAGTCCATAATATAGGAATTCTAATCCCCATGGTTATTCAGAATGAACACTCATAGTGTGTGAGGCACTATGCTAAGTATTTTATAGCCTGTGGATAGGTTTACAAGGTGGAAACTGAGGCTCCGGGGATTTAAGTAAAGTGGTAAATTTACACAGCTAGTATGTGGAAGACCTGGGATTAGAACAGACTAGTTGGGGCCAGCCAGATGTACGGTGGTTGAGGTGCTGGATCCCACTTGACTGTGTGGTTTGAGTCCTGGATCTGGCGGCTTGGAAAATACACACATCTGTGCATGCTTGCTCAACATTCTGAGAGGAGAATGGAGGAGAAGAGATTTTGGTGTAGCCAGACACCCTTAAGGGTGATTTCTCACTTTCTCTGTCTCCTGCAAGCGCACGTACTGTATAGCAAAAACTGAAAAACGAAACAAAACAAGCTAATCAACTAGTTCTTTTTTTTCCTTTTCTTTCTTTCTTTTTTTTTTTTTTTTTGAGAGTTTTTTTGCTATAGGGCACGTGCGCTCGCCAGAAAGACAGAAAGAGACAGAGAGACAGCGAGAAATCACCCCCCAGGGGGGATGGCCACACCGCAATCCCTTCTCCTCCATTCGCCTCTTGGGATCTTGGGCGTGCACCCACATGTGCCCAGCATGAGTTTAAGCCACCAGGATGCGAGCCGCAGTCAACTACATGGGAGTACAGCGACATAGCCATTACGCTAACTGCTGGTCCCCTAATTCTTAGCCTCTACCCATACTGCCTTGCTTCTTCATTCATTCCCTCCCTTTTCAGTACATGTTTATTGAGGGCTTCTTAGTGCGTGGATCTTAGCCAGTAACACTGTATTTTGCCTTAGGGCAAGATGAACTATGGACATGACAGTGACATGCCTTCCCTTTCTCCATGAGTGAGCTCCCTAAGGGCAGAGGGAGTGTCTTACTAGCTGTTTTCCCAACTACCGAGTATGATGTTTGTTGCATAACGCTTTTGAGAGTTTTTTTGCTATAGGGCACGTGCGCTCGCCAGAAAGACAGAAAGAGACAGAGAGACAGCGAGAAATCACCCCCCAGGGGGGATGGCCACACCGCAATCCCTTCTCCTCCATTCTCCTCTTGGGATCTTGGGCGTGCACCCACACGTGCCCAGCATGAGTTTAAGCCACCAGGATGCGAGCCGCAGTCAACTACATGGGAGTACAGCGACATAGCCATTACGCTAACTGCTGGTCCCCTAATTCTTAGCCTCTACCCATACTGCCTTGCTTCTTCATTCATTCCCTCCCTTTTCAGTACATGTTTATTGAGGGCTTCTTAGTGCGTGGATCTTAGCCAGTAACACTGTATTTTGCCTTAGGGCAAGATGAACTATGGACATGACAGTGACATGCCTTCCCTTTCTCCATGAGTGAGCTCCCTAAGGGCAGAGGGAGTGTCTTACTAGCTGTTTTCCCAACTACCGAGTATGATGTTTGTTGCATAACGCCAGTCTAGTGAACTTGGGATTTCCTTCTCCTTTACTTGGAAGGATTTGACAAGGAATTAAGCAGCTCCGAACTGGTACAGTTTCAACTAGGATTTGCAGTCAAACTCAGCCAACACATTTGAGGCTGGCCTGGCATTGGACTCTGCATCAGAATAGCAGCCAGGCTGGGGACTGGACAGAGGCCCAGTGAAAAATGTGATGCCCTGTGAGGCTGACCCTTATGAGAAGATTCAGGATTCCTATCTGGAGACTTCCTTAAGGATGTTCTGTGCAGGCATGCCTATAATCCAAGGCTGGGGCTGGGGTAGATTGTGGCATGAGGACTCCACCGGGGGAGCTGTCTCTCTGTCTTCGTCTTTCCCTCTCTGTTTCTCTTGCCTAAAGAAGTCATAAATGGGCTTAAAACAAAACAAAGCTGTCACGCTACTTAGCTAGGGAGTAGGTGATGTTCTAAGTTAAAATCCCTAAGGACAGAAAAAGTTCATTTTGAAGTAAGTAACTAGAAATTAATAGTTCTTGAAAAAGGTCCTCCAGACTGTTTTTATAACATGTGTCCAATATCATTTTATGCCAACAGTTTGATCATCATCTCGACCAAACTGCCATTATCCAAGCCTTCAAATCATACTGGTGAGTGTGGATGTAATGTTAATTTAAAATGTACGACTCAGATCAGTAATCCTGCTTGTCATATTTTGGAAGCTGCCTGCATTTTGCAAAGACAATAAAGTAAACAGCTTAATCAGTTTGAACCACTCCCTAGACCTCAGGCTTACCACAGATTTCGTTAGCAGGTGCAGGAAATTGTCTGCAGATGGAGTCCACCAGATGGTTTGAAGTCAGAAATTGTGTCTGGCAAAATACCGACAGCCCATTAGAGGGCAGTATGACAACATAATCGAGCAGGAAAGGACAAAGTGACGTAGTTGAGATCCAGTTGCGTCTCCTCTCACTTGACTGTTGTCTTCTCTCTGCTCCACACCACACGCCAGTGAAACTTAGCCCTGCTTTTAATCCTCCAGTCCTCAAAATGTGTGACATGTTATACCAACTGTACACTAGGGTGATTTTACATCACAGCAACGCCAACAACTGAAAGTTACAAATTAAACTGATTTGGGGCCAGCAGGTTGTGTGGTGGTTAAAGCCACTAGACTCCTTGGGACCAGCAGATGGCATAATCATTTTGTCACTGGACCTCCCATGTAATTAACCACGGTTCAAGTCCTCGACTCGGTGACTTAAAACTCACACCAGCAGTGTGTGTGTACTTACCCAAAATCCCAAGAGGAGAATGGAGGAGAAGGGATTGAGATGTGGCCATTCCCCATGGGGGATGATTTCTCACATTCTGTCTCTTTCTGTCTCTCTGGCAAGCGCACGTGCCCTATAGCAAAAAATCTCTTTAACAACAACAAAAGAAAAGCCACTGGACTCCCACATGGCTGATCATGGTATGTCACAGATCTGGCAACTTGTTTCTTAATTTCTCTCTCTCTCTTTCTCTGGTCAAATTAAAAAATAATCATAGTTGGTACCAGTAGTTGGCGTAATGGCTTTGTGTATATATGTACATATATGTATATATACATATATACAAAAAAACCAATAATAGCAATGTGTTACATATCAATAGCAGCAGCAGCTCTTCCAGGTTCTACAGTCATCTGAACAAAATTACAGGACATCCAGCACGCTCTATTAAGACTTTTTATTTCTGTCTGAAGGTTTTCATTCATTCTAATTCCTATTTAGTTATTGAATATTTGACTGAATGGATGAATGGATAGATGTATGGATGAATATATGAATGAATGCTTGATATAGTAATTAAAACTTCCTTTGGGCTAGTCAGCAACTACATACCACTTTAGGACTAATAACGGCATAAGGGAAAAGGTCTAAATTAATCATTTTATTTAAGAAATCTATGAATGGGGATAGTAATTAAAGAGTAAGGATGTTGGCTTTCTACCAAAACAAAAGTTAGTTTTTATTGCTTAACTTTTTTTTTTAAGTTTATTCATGTATTTCTTCTATGACAAAAAGAGAAAGAGGCACCCATGACAGGGTCTTCACACCACAACCCTCCCACCCCCTGGCTCAGCCAGCCAAGACCACAGGGAAGTGCACAATTTCCAAACCGTCTTAAAAAGCCAGACACATTGGCACGTGCCTGTAGTCCCAGCTACTCTGAAGACAGAATTGTGAGCTCGTGGACAGTGTGGCCAACATAGTGAGACCTGTCTGAAGGTAAGGTGCTGAGTGTGGTGGGACACACCTGTGGTCCCAGCTGCTTGGGAGGCTGAGACAGGAGGATCGCAACATGGCAAGACCCTGTGTAAAAATACACCATGCACACACACACACACAAGCACACACAAATGGGCATTACATACTATATTAAGCATTGAAAAGTCAAAGGCCTCCTTTGCAATTTGGTTGGAGCTGTGGGATTGGGAATCTGGGTGCATGTACGTGTATGCTCAAAATCACCAAGGAAAAGGATTGCAGTGTGGTCATCTCCCCTTGTGGGTGCTTTCTCACTTTCTCTCTCTCTCTTGCTCTCTTTCTCTGTGGAGAGCACACATGCCCCATAGCAATTTTTTTTTTTTTTGAGAGGTTTTTGCTATAGAGCACATGTGCTCACCAGACAGAGAGAGACAGAAAGCGAGAAATCACCCCCCAGGGGGGATGGCAATGCTGCAATCCCTTCTCCTCCATTCTCCTCTCGGGATCTTGGCAGGCCTCCATTCTCCTCTCGGGATCTTGGGCACGCACGCCCCCCCGCCCGGCGTGAGTTTTAAGCCACCGGGTCCGGGACACAAACCATGGTCGACTACGTGGGAGTCCAGCGACATAGCCATTACACTAACTGTTGGTCCCCCCCATAGCAAATTTTTAAAAAATTAATAAATAAAAATATAGGGACCAGCAGATGGCATAATAGTTACATCACTGGACTCCCACATGGCTGACCACAGTGCGAATCTTAGACCTGGCAGCTTAAAACTCACTCCAGGCACATGTGCATGCATGCCCAAAATCCCAAAAGGAGAATGGAACAGAAGGGGTTGCAGTGTGGCCATCCCTCTTTGGGAGTGATTTCTCACATTCTATCTCTCTGTTTCTGTCTCTCTAGTGAGCACACATGCCCTATCACAAACATCTCTCTAAAAAAAATAATTAATAATGAGAGTACAAAGCTCTCTACATATAGGCATTAATCTGTCAGACTGCCATTACAAGGTACCAGAGTGGGTGGTTTAAACAACAGACATTAGCTTTCTCAGTTCTGAAGGCTAGAAGCACTAGCAGGTTTGGTCCCTGGTGAGGGCTCCTTCTTGACTTGCAAATAGCTGCCTTGAGTTGGCCTTTCCTGTGTGTGTGTGTGTGCATAGAAAGAGAGCCAGCTCTGGTGTCTCTTTTTCTTTTTCTAAGAACACTGGTTCTATCAGATTAGGGCCCTACCATTACGACTTCATATAACCTTAATTACCTCCATGAAAGCAGAGGATGGTATCCTTGGGTGGGCTGTAGCTTTAGCCTGGTGGTTAAGGCAGCTGATCCCAAGTGGCCAAGTGCATGGTTCGAGTCCCAGACTCAACAGCCTGAAAGACATAGCAAGAGGTTGCTGGCAGGTAGTGTGCTGGTTAAGGCACTGAACTCCCATCTGGCCAACCATGATTCAAGTCCTGGACCTGGTGGCTTGCTTTCCCACTTTCCCTTTCTCTCTATCTCTGGTCAAATTAAAAATAATAATACATAAAATAATTCTTTAAAAAAGAGACAAAATAGAGACATATCAGGTGTGTGTGTATATTCCCAAAATCCCAAAAGGAGGGAGAGATGGAGGAGAAAGATTATGATGTGACCATACCTCATGGGGAGGCTTTCTACTCTGTTGAGCAGAGAGAGACACAAAAAAAGAAAGGCCATATCTACAGAGATAGTCACCTTGGGGTTAGAGCTTCAATGATGGGAAGAGGACACAATTCATTCATTTAAATTAGTGACTGTACATATCGTTAATGAGTAATGTAAAATATGGAATGCTCCTTGCCTCTGCTCATACTCTTCAGATGGGAACCACTGTTAACAGCTTCTTTCTGTTCTTCGTACTTTCCACTGTTCAGACACAAATACATAATGTAAATTGGATCATACTACATATATAGTTCACTTAGAGTGAGAAAAGCTCCATTTACTATAGTATTTTTTCCTCTTATCATTATACTATAGATATCTTCCATATCAGTACCTGAAACTCCCACAATATTCTTTCCAGCAGCTGCATTGTACTTTCTTGTAAGGATTATGGTAATACAACAGTTTATCTTGGTAAATAATAGATTATTCTGAATTGATTATGAGCAGTGTTACAGAAAATATCCTTGTATATGTATACTTTCATACTTAGGATAGTATTTTAGTAGGGTCGATTCCCAGAAGTAAAATTGCTGAGGCAAAGAGTGCATCCTTCGGATCTGAATATATTTCGCCAAGTTATCTTCTAAAAATGTGTGCTAGTTTATACATCTAGGAAAAGTGTACAGGACTATATTTTTCCCTACGCCAACCCCAGGGGAGTATTAATATTTTGAGTTTTGCTAATTTATGGATTTAAAAAGGTTTTAAAAATAAGTTTAAAAAAGTAATGAGATCAGTAGATGGCATCATGGTTTTGTTACTGGACTCCCACATGGTTGACCATGGTTTGAGTCCTGGACCCAGCAGCTTAAAATTTATACCAGGTGCGTGTGCGCGCATGTCCGAAATCCTGAGAGGAGAATGGAGAAGGGACTGCATGTGGCCATCCTTCCTGAGGGTTGATTTCTTGCTTTCTGTCTCTCCTGCAAGTGCATATACCCTATAGCAAAAATCTCTCTCTCTCTCAAAATAAAAGGCAATTATTTTTCAAAAAAAAGCAAGCATTTTTAAATATTGCATTTCATTATTAGTGAATGTTTTGCATTTTATTTTATTTTTTAAAGACTTATTTTATTTAACTTTATTTATTATCTTTATTATTGTCCAATTTGACTAGAGAGAGAGAGAGAGAGAGAGAGGAAGCAAGCCACCAAGTCCAGGACTTGAACTGTGGTTAGCCATGTGGGAGAGCCCTCCACCGTGAACCACCATGTCACCTGCCAGCCCCCAATTTTTTACATTTTAAAAATATTTATTTTTATGAATTTTCATTTGTATTTTTGTTCACTTTTTTCATTGCTCTGATACTTTAATTATTTATTTATTAATATTTTATTTTATTTATTGTGGGAAGCTGCACACCAGCGAGTCTGCCGAGGTTTCTCAGAGGGCAAACAATTACCATGATTGGTTCCCTTCCAAAAACCTGACCTTCGAAACCTTGCTCTGATTGGCCACTAGAATCCCTCAAATTTGCATATCTGGCACCTCATGATTGGTCCAAAAGCAACCAATCATAACCCACCGTTAACAACCAATCAGGGCCCACCGTTTACAACCAATCACAGTCCTCCGTTTACAACCAATCACGGCCCACCGTTTACAACCCACCAGAGTGTATATAACCACGATGCCTGGCCCACAGTAGCCAGACGACACAGACGACCGAGACGACGATGAAGACGACCAGGAAGACGACAACTGAAGAGCCTGAAGAGCTGAAACACCGTGCAGTCTCCAGACGACCCTGAAGATCCTGAAGAGCTGACACTGCATCGTCTCCAGATGACCTGGGAGACCCTGAAGAGCTGTAACACTACATCGTCTCCGGACGACCCTGAAGAGCTGTGATACCGCGTCGTCTCCGTGCTGCTCACAGTAGACGACACGACCCTTAAGAGCTGTGACACTGCGTCGTCTCTGTGCTGTACCATGCTGCCCACAATAAACAGACGACACTGTCGTCTCCGTGCTGTAACACTACGCTGCTTGCCCTGGCTCTCACTCCTTCACTCAGGAAACCTGTTCGGCTGTCCCCCCCGGGTCGGGACACCTGGCGCCCGAACAGGGATGGGACAATTTATTATTATTTTTTAATTTGCATAGGGTACAAGTGCTCACCAGAGAAAGAGAAAGGGAAAGTGAGAAAGCAAGCCACCAGGTCCAGGACTTGTACCGTACTCAGCCATGTGAGAGTCCAGTGCCTTAACCACTGCACTACCTGCTGGCTCCATGCACTGATACTTTAAAAGATTGATTTGTATGAGTCTTTTCTATTTATCTCAGCAAATAAACTTTGCTATATATATGTTGCAGATTTTATCTGTCATGCCATTTTTCTTTCTTTCTTTCTTTTTTAAAAGGGGTCTCACTCTTACAGTCTGTCTGCCTCAGCCTCTCTACTGGGACTACAGAGGTGTGCCACAACACCTGGCTGTTTTTTAGACAGGATCTCACTATGTTGCCTAGGTCAGCCTTGAGCTTGTGCTCCTCCTCCCTCAGCCTCTCAAACACTGTTATAGCAACACACCACCGCACCTAGCCTTTAGATTGGACTGGGAATAAAACCCAGCCTCCCGTGCGGTTCCAGTCTGCAGAGCACAACATCTGAACAGTGCACACCCCAGTGGCTAGAACTGCCTTTTGTCTTTTCATTTCTTTAAAGATATTCCTAACTTAATGGAGTGAAATTATGGGACCAAATTTTATCAGTGATACAAGGTACATGTGCTGGGGGTTAGACGCCAAGTGTGGGAGGTGAGCCAGGCCAGAAATGACCCCTACAAATACTCTCTTGGTGCCCAAGTACAACACTTAGAGTCCCATATTCATAATGAGCCCAGCCTATTTGCCTGAGTAAAAGCTTCAAATCTTGAAAAGGAGATTTTTGTGTATTCATGAGTCCTAATGCTCAGCCCATCAGCTCCCTTACTTGTACCCATGGAATCCACTAATGCCCAGGGGCTTTGGCTGAGTGATCAGGACTTTGGGATGAGCAGGAGTAGAGAGAACACTAACCCTGCAGGTCATCTTTAGGGTAGCCTCTAAAGAACATTTAGAAAAATAGAAACAACTATCTGTATTTATTTATTTATTTGCCATAGGGCCTTTATCTCTGAGTTTTGCCAGTAGGCTCTGACTTGCCCACACTTCCCTCACCTAGACAGTCAGCTCCCAGGATCAGCCTAAGGCTCACACCTCTGACCTGTGGCTCACACCTCGGACCTGCTTACCTAACCTGCAGGTTCTCTAAAAGCCGTTTTCCTGCACTTGCTGCCACCTGCCTTGTCAATGGCCTGCTGTAGAACTCTCCGAGTCCCATTATAGAACAGCAGCATGTCCACAACCCAGTTACCTTTAGATTACTTACGTCCAGGTCACACCCAAAGGAGGGGGGTATGTCCTCCAGTTAGGCGCTTTGCTAAAGCTTGTTTTGAGGTTCTAATTTTAATCACCTCAAGGAAAGAGTAGAAAGAATTAAAAAATAATAAGGCTACGAGGGGGAAGGTAAAAGTCATCTGAACTCTGCTGGCACCTCCTCAGTCTTTGTCCTGAAAGTAACTATCATCCAGCTGGCCCCATAGACCAGTGGTTGAGGGAGCCAGACCCCACACAGCCCATGGTGGAGGCTTGAAAAACACGTTAGATGCGTGTGTGAGCATGCCCAGGATCCTGACAGGATGGAGAAATGGAGAAGGGAATGTGGCATGGTCACACCATTTCACAAACCCCTGGCTCAGGAGGTACTTTCTTTTTCTCCCTCTCCCTTTCTCTTTTACTCCCTTCCCTTCTGTGGAAAGCTCATGTGCCCTTTAAAAATCTGGATGGAAAGATGGGCCAGCAGGTGGTGTGGTGGTTAAGAGTGCTAGACTCCCACATGGCCAACTGTGGTTGGAATCCTGGACCTTGTGGCTTACGTTCTCACTTTCCCTCTATCAATTGACCACTCAGGACAAATTAAAATAAATAAATAAAGTTAAATAAAGTAACTCTTTTTTTAAAAAAATTAACTTTTGAAAAAATTTATTTAATTTGACCAGAAAAGGACAGAGTAAGAAAGAGAAAGTGAGAAAGCAAGCCACTAGGTCCAGGAATTGAACCAAGGTTGGCCATATGGGAGTCCAATGCCCTTAACTACCACCTGCCAGCCCCAATAAAATAAAATAATTCTTTTTTTAAAAAAAGAGAGAGACTTGGAAAGAAAGAAAATTTAAAAACTATCATTAAGGGTTCCTAGTATGCTTTCAGGAAGTTTCCACTAATGTAAGTAGGATTAGATTCATACTGTTTTACAATTTCTTTTCTCACATTTCACTTGCCATCTTGTAGTCATTTTCTTTTTTTAGAGAGATTTTTGCTATAGGGCATGTGCGCTTGCCAGAGAGACAGAAAGCAAGAAATCACCCCCCAGAAAGGATGGCTATGCTGGCATCCCTTCTCCTCCATTCTCCTCTTGGGACTTTAGGCACACATGCACACGTGCCCAGCGTGAGTTTTAAGCCACTGAGTCCAGGACTCGAACCCAGGTTGACTTACATAGGAGTCTAGCTATGTAACCATTATGTCATCTGCTGGTCCCTTATAGTCATAGTTCTAAAAGTACAAGGGACTTCATGAATTTCATGGAAAATGAAATTAAAGTATAAGCTTATTTTGTTGCAAAAATATTTTGAAATCCATGCACAGCTTTTTCATAATATACATTTTCCATAAACTTTTTGAAGACCCACCCCTCCACCAGATGTATGTATGTATGTATGTAGAACATAATTTTTGTGTGTGTGATTTGGTTTGTTTTTAAAATTGTACTGGCAGGCCAGCAGGTGGCATAGTAATGGAGGTGCTGGACTCCCATATGGCTGACCACAGTTTTAGTCCCGGATCTGGCGGCTTGAAAATCAAGCCAGACGCATGTGCATGCATGCCCAAAAATCCCAGGTGGAGCATAGTGAAGGGACTGCAGCATGGCCATCCTCCTTGGGGGATGATTTCTCACTTTCTCCTTCTCTGTCTCTGACTTTCTCTCTCTCTCTCTGGTGAGTGCACACACCATGTGGCAAAACCTAAAGAAAAAAAAAACAAAACACAAAGCCGCACTGGGTGCCTTACAAGTATGGCCTGCACCCACACTGACAGATCTTGAAAATCATTGGTAGCGTGAGCACTAATAAACGCAGACAAGTTATGCTCCTTATGTGACAATCCGCATATGGTGGGAGGTGTGTGGTCTTGGTGAAGTTATCTATACAATTTGAACTTCAATTTTCACATCCACAATAAGGAGCCTGTATTACTCGCCACAGAGGGTAGTGGTAGAATTTGATAAGATAATGCTCCGAGGGCCATCTGTGCAGTAGAAGTGGTATATTGGGGACATACTATCATGTATTCTTTAGAACATTAGTTTCGTAGGCAGGCATAACCGTGTGGAATCCAGGTTCTACCCCACCAGTTCTAACCTGGGATGAATGATGTAAGTTGTCTGAGCCTCTGAGTTTCTGCATCTGTACAATACTTACATGAAAATGTGGTTGCGAGGGCTGACCCCATAGCCTAGTGGTTAAGGGCACCAGACCTCACATGACCAATTGAAGTTCAAATCCTGGCCCTAGCAGCTTGAAAACTGTGCTGAGCATGTGTGCCCCAAATCCCACAGGATGGAGAAGTGAAGGAGAAGGGATTGCGACGTGACTCCGTCCTAGTAGAAGGTGCTATCTTCTCTGTCTCTGGTGAGTGCATGCCACTTCTAGCAAGTTCAAAAAAAAAGAAAGTTGTGAGACAAGATACAAAATAATGCATATAAAGGGCTTAGCAGAGTGTCTGTTTAATAAAATTGCTCAAAAATAGTACCTATTACCTTTAAGAGTGGACCTTGCAGCTGGGTTAATCTAGCTTCACATCCATCTCTGCCACCTTAGTTACATGTCCCTGAGGAATTCTCTTAAAGTTTCAGAGCCTTCATTTTTGCTTCTACTTTGTAGGATTGTGAGAGTGAAATAGATGATTAGTATAGTCCCCAAAGCACGGTGGGTGCATACTCTTTGCATTGTGCTCAGGTCTCCGATGGGAACGGACACATCGCCTACTTTCCTCCTTCCTTCCCAACTCTTTGCTGTGCAGATGAGGTGTATTGACACCCCAGTGCAGGTGCACTGAAGGTAGGTTCACTACCCCCTTCCTTTCTTTTTTTCTTTCTCCCATGAGAGAGAAGGAGGCGTGCAACCCCAGCAGGGTCCTCAGCCCACAGTCCACCCCAGCTTCAGCCAGCCCAGATCCTGGGCACATGCTGTGTGCCCAGCAATATCCAGGGAGCCTCGGGACACACAACATCCCATGTGGGTCCATTTACTTTACTGCTGCACCACCATCTGGTCCCTGAAGAGAGATTTTATTTATTTATTTTTAATAATTTATATTTAATTAATTAATTAACTTTTATTTTGACCACACAGAGAAAGAGGGAAAATGAGAAAGCAAGCTGTCAGGTCCGGGTCTCAAACAGTGTTTAGCCTTGTGGGAGTCCAGCACTCCAACCATCACGCCAGCTGCCGGCCCCTGAAGACAGATTTCAAAATCAGAGCACCTGTGTCCCCTAGAGGATTATTTCTCTTTC